GCTATATTCCAGTTTGAGGACACCAAATCTCTGAGAAGCTCTTTCTCTGCTGCTTACCATTCTGCCGTTTTCCCAGAAGTCTCTGCACTTTGAAATCAATTTTAATATGAATAACACTAGTTGTTTTTTCATTCATATAGTTACATTTATTTGAATATTTTTCAATGTAAGAATTCATTGGGAAGTTATTAGTGTTTGGCTTTTATAAATAATGGTTATGAAAATTTCTGCTTATATATTTTGTGAACTAAAGAGTGCATACTGAGCTTGGAGATGTAGTTCGGTGGTAAAGGGCTTACACAGCATCTGAGAGGACCTGGGTTCAATCTACCACACCGTGTTGCTTTACATCCTTAGTAAAATATGCTAATGACAGACGGTGTTTTTTTCATGTAGACGTTCTTTTGGGGTGTAGAGTATTTGGTGGTTTTGTTTCTGATTAGTAGTGATGCTGAACACCTTTTCATGAATGTATTCACCATTTGGAAATCTTTTTGAAGTGTTTTTGTATGTATCTTTCATGATTTTTAAAAAAGTGATCATTGTCTTTTCTTTATTTGTAAGAGGTTTTAAAAATATAAACATCTGTTAAGTCCATTTGTTCAAGAATTTGGATGAGTTCTAGTGTATCATTGTTTTTTTTTTTTTTTTTTTTTTTTTTCTAGTTGATCTGTCTGTTGTGACAGTGGGGTATGAGGCCCCCCACTACTATTGTATTAGTGCTTGTTTGACTTTTCATGTGTTAATATCTGTTTTACATAGTAGGGTGCACTTTTAGTGCATATATAATATCTGATTGTTGTCTCTTCCTTTTGGATTGTTCCCTTTACAAGGATGTAGTGACCATCTTTGTCTCTCTTAATTAGTGTTGGTTTCAAGTCCATTTTATCTGCGAACAGGATAGCTACTTCTGTTTTTTTCAGGTTCCTGATCTTTTGCTTTGGGTAGTTTGATCGAACTTGGGCCCTTGCGCTTGCGAGGCAGGCAGCAGAATCACTGAGCCAAATCCCCACCCCTTGTCTGGTTTGCCTTTTAATTCTTTTAATGGTAACTTTAAAAAACATACCCTTTAATTTAATTTTATTTTATTGTTTATTTAAAATTTTTTTATTATTATTTTTGCTACCAGGGATCAAACTCAGGACCTTGTCCTTCTGAGGCAGGCACATTCCTGCTGAGCTAAATCCCTGGCCCTACCCTTTAATTTCAATATAGTTTAGTTTACTAGTATTTTTTTCTTTATGGTTTGTATATTTTTATTTTATTTAAGAAATCTTTATGCAAAATAAATATGGAGAATAGAAAATAGCGATATCTTTCACTAGTGGGAAGTAAACTGGGAAATGGTGGGAAGAGAGATAAGATTTACAAAGGGGGAGGATTGTGAAGTGTGATCATTAGATTTTATAGACATCTACCCCCCGCAAAAAGAAAAAGAAATCCTACTTGAACCAAGTCATGAAGATGCTTTGTTATGTTAACTTCTAGAAACATTTGTCTTTTCTATTGTGTATTTAAGATTGACTTATTTGTATAGTTTGAGTTAGAAGTCAACATTAATTTTGTCTATATGAATATGAAGTGATTGGTCCAGGTTCGTAATTGAAAAAGCCCATCTTCCTGTTATTCCAGAACAGCTTTTATTTTAAGTCAGCTGAACAGTGTAGGAGCAATCTTTTTGTTTTACATGTAGAATTCTAGCACTTTGTTTGAATGATTGCTGCATATTCTTATGGGGTTTACTGCTCTTCATAATAGTATTTTACTGTTATTTTGACTTCATTGGTAACTATTAAATAGAATCTAGTTGAGGGGTGAAGGGAGGGTAGGGACAAGGGAAAAAATGAGAACCAAGACCTGGCATGTAAAGGTACAAGATCCCAGTAATGAATGTAACTGTACTGTCTACCAATAAATTCAATTTAAATAAAAGAAAAATAGAATCTAGTTGAGGGGTGAAGGGAGGGTAGGGACAAGGGAAAAAATGAGAACCAAGACCTGGCATGTAAAGGTACAAGATCCCAGTAATGAATGTAACTGTACTGTCTACCAATAAATTCAATTTAAATAAAAGAAAAATAGAATCTAGTTGATTTTGTGTATTTTGCTTTAGTCTACTTTATTAATTTTAATTCTTTACATATTCTTGTAGATTTTACCAGTTTATCAAAGAACTGAACTTTTATCCTCCAAAGTACATTTTTCTATGTAATTAATTTCTACTCTGTCTTTTATTTCACTTTGTTTCATTTGCTGTTCTTTTTTAAAATCTATTTTTTAGATAATTTGATTTTTTTTCTTTCTTAATGTATTTATTCAGTCTATAAAATGTCCCCCCACATTCCTCATGGTTTAGCTTTATCACACATATTTTAGTATTTTATTTTTAATGTCTTTTACTTCAAAATATGTTTTAATTTCCATTGTGGTGCTTTCCTTGACACATTTTGTGTTTCTTTTAGAAACACATTCTTATTTTCAAACACTGGGGATAAATAATAGTAGTTACTTAGTGCTGTGCTAATATCATTGCAGTTAGCCCTTAAGAGCCAGACTTTTATTTTCTCACAGCTTTTCTTGGTCAGCAATCTAGGCATGGCTTAGTTGGGCCTTTTGCTTCACATAACGAGGTTGAAGTAAGGTGCTGGCCATGGCTGCAGTCTCATTTCATTTCATGTTTGAGTGGAGAAGGACATGCTACCACACTCCTGGATTTTGGCTGGATTCTGTTCCTTGTGAGCTGTTGCTCTGACAGCCTTAGTTTCTTGGGGGCTGTTGTCTGGGGTCCCTTTGCTGGGTGGAACTTTCCAAAAGGCAGCTCTTAGCCTGGCACTTTAGCCAGAGGTCAAGGGAGACCATCAAGAGAGTTGGCTATGATAGAAGTTGCTGTTGTATTAGTGTGGTCATGGTGGTGTACATCAGTGTTTTCATGTTTTCTTGCTTTAGAGACGTCTCAGTTCCTTCCCACATTCTATAAGAGGGAGTTTTATACAGATATGATGCTAGGTAGTTTGTAAAAATGGTTGCTATTTTAGAGCCTCTTTGCAGTGTCTGTGGGCTGTTATTTTTTTCCGATTTAATTTTACTATGTCAAATACATGATTTCCTGATTTGAGATTGTTACAAATTGTTTTGTGATCCCACATTTTGCTGGCATTTGTGCAATTTTTGTTTTTCTCTGAAAGCAGTATTTATTATTCACTTAAAGCATACAGTGTCCTATGTATGTCAGTCAAATCAGGTGTGTAATTACATTGTTCAAATATTCTATAGCTTTATATTAAAAAACTAGTTGTTGGTCATATTCTTAGGAATATATGTTTAGAATGTCAAAATTCTTAGTTTCTGCCTCTTATCGTTTGACGTGTTCATCTCCTTCATAAACATATGGCTCAGTTTTTTATTGTTTTGGAAAGATCTGACCATTATCTCTTAAAATATTGCTTTATTCTAATTAGGTTTCTCCTGTTTTTCTTAGATGAGCTAAAATGATTTTAGACCTTTTTACATCTGTTCTCTGTTACTTATTTTGTCAAATTTTCTCACCATGTTCCAGGATTATCACTGGCCTCTCATTTAATTTGTCATTTGTGGGATCAATGTATCAACCTGGTAAATCTGTTCTTATTGTCATAATTTCACTTTTCTTAGTAGTTCTGCCTTTCCCCCCTTCTATTGGAGTTCTTTTTTTAAACAAATAGTTGTCTAAACATAGTAACTACTTTTGTTTCATTGTTCACACATAAAAAATTACTACTTTGAGTTTCTTTAGCTAGTTTCTTTATAGTTTTCATTCATTTGATGTTGTCTTTTGTTATTGATTTTAAAAGTGCAAGAGTAAATTTTAGTCTCTGTATGATTTTATCTTCTTTTACAGAGGACTTCTGTTTGGTTTCTAATTAAGTTACACTAAGGCTGATTGTATTAAGTTGGGAACTGAACTGTTTCAAGGCCGGATTCTTTTAGTCACTTTGAGTGTTTTCTCTGTTTGTAGTTCGGCTGTGCCTAGCATGTAGCTCTTCTGAAGTCATCTGAAAACCTGGAGTTTTTCTTGCATTCGTATTTCTATAATTTTCTCAACATCTAAAAGCTTTGTTTGGCTCTTTGCCTAACATTTAATCTATATACAAATCACTACAATACTTTTTGAAAGTCTTTTCAGTGTTTTGTGGCATGGCTTATTTCTGATTTCCAAGGTAATAGATTAAAATTTGGAGGACTTACATAGATCCTCCACCTTCTCAACAATATGTACCTGGTTTTGTCTCATAGCTCTGTGTGACTGTTGACAGCTCTGTTCAGATTCTCGTGTCTCACTTGTGAGCAGTAAATGCTTCAGTGAGAAAATTCATGTTGAGTGTCTTTTATGTGCAGTCTTCTGTAGGATCCTGACCCCTTCCTTGCTGTTTTGCATTACTGTAACAAATAAAACCTGAGATGATCAAATTATAAGGAAGAAATAATTATTTTGCCATATGGTTTTGGTCCATGATTGGTTGGTCCAGTTGCTTTGGACTTCTGGTGAGGCAAAACGGCGTAAAGGAATTGCATGAAGGAGGAAGTTGCTCATTCTGTGGAGGCAGGGAAGCATGCAGAGATGGGAAGTGGCTGGGGTCCCAGAATCTCCTTTAAGGGCAGGTGCCCATGGACCTGACTTCCTCCCACTCAGCTCTACCTCTTAGAGGTTCCACCACCTTCCCACCCAGTATTGGCACACACTTTTAACACACTGGTTTCTGGGAAATACCCAAACTATAGCATTTGGTAACTGCTTTTATTTAGAGTTTTTAATTGGTTCTATTGGATGGCTCGTCTGATAGAGGTTAATCTGCTTTTACCAGAAAGGTAAACTTGTGCTTCAGGTATTCAGTGTGAAATAATGGTACTTCATTTGTATGATGTCAAAAGATGAGACTAAATATTCTTTTCCCCCAGAATAACAAACTCTACCACTTTGGAGCCGTGACTAATCATTCATCGACAATGTTCATCTCTTGTAGGTTGCTTAGCCAAACAATGAAAGATCATCTAGTGAGAGTAGCAAATGAAGCTGAATTCATTCTGAGCAGACAGAGAGCTGAGGATATTCACAGACATGCGGAATTTGAGGTAGGTTGTACATGTGGATTGTGTGAAGAAATTAATGTTTTTTTTATTGGCAGTGATGGGAAATTGCCAGGGGAGTGGCAATATGATCTAAAGAAGCATGTCACACATCATCACACAGGTTAGATATCATCAGATAGCAAAAAAATAACATTTTGATTTGGTCATTAATCAAATCATCAAAAATTAACTTTTTGAAAGACTCATAGAGGATTTGGGGAGACACTACACATCACTTTGTCTCTCTCATCTCCAGCTCATTTGCTGGTGGATCAGAGCAGCTTCTGTGGTTGACCTGATTTTAATAATGGGAGGTGAGTTGTTGGCTGTAATGGTTTTCCAGAAAAGAAAAGTAGCAAAGGACATTGTTCCCCTGGACAAGATACAGAAATGATAATATCTGTGGCAATGATGAGATCTTCCAGGTTTTTAAAGAGGTGCAGAATGCGGAGGTATAAAGTTCCTCTACCCATGAGTTTAGAGAGCCTGGGAATCCTGTTAGCAGAGGTTATTATGATGGAGCACACAGTTCTGTTTTTATACGCTCATGGAGGAGCAGGTGACAGACTTTCTTGGACCTCTCAGGGTAGCATCTGAAAAGATCAACAAGTGTGAAAGGTGATTAGTGATTTCACAGGTGTGTAAATGACCAAAACTCAACATAGGTGAGCTAGAAAATTTGAAAACATTCACTATAGAATCAGAAAAGTAATTAAAAAGTACTGTACAGGTTCTTCCTAATGCAGTATGTAAGAGCAAATAAAGTCATACTGATGATATTTTTCTGGTACTTTAGAGAAGATGACTATCACTCTAGTGCATTTTATACAACCAGCATAACCTGAAAATGGTGCTACAAAAATAAAATGCTACAGTAATTTTATTTAATTATGTGGACACAAAGTTTTAACTAAAACTTCAGCTAACATAAACCATCATTGGAATGATAGAGTTTTCCATACAAAGTTTTAACTAAAATTTAGATATTAAACCCTCAGTGGAAAGAGAGAATGTAAAAAGTGTGTAGTGTGTATTGTGTCTTTTGAGAATATTTCCTAGAATTCAAAATAGTTTGTTGTATGGTATTTACCTACAAAGTAACTTGTATCAACAAATTAAAAACAGAAAAGAATGAATATATTGGTAATGTGAAAATAATAGATATAAGACCATGAGAAAAATTTATACATGAGAAAATAATCTAAGTATGATAAATACTATTAAACATTATTTTAAATTAAAGCCATTTCTACTAAATTGGGGAGAATAGTGATATGTATTATCACAATATAATAGTTTTATGTTCTTCCAAGTGTAAGATATAGTCAATATAGATGCTAGAAAAGAAGAAATAAGATTATTTTACATTCCTAATGCTGTGGACTAAGAAAATATAAGAGATTCTTGGACATTTTCTGTCAGAATAAATAATAGACTTTTGTGAGATTGCTGAATATAAGATAAATATTCAAAACTCTAATAGATTTTCTTTTGACAAGTAGAAACCAACCCAGATGGAAATCAGAAGTATTGTATAGTCATAGTTATGACAGAAACAATGTTTTGGCCAAACTCTGAAAGAAAATCACAGTTTCTTTTTGGGATAAAACTAAGATTTTATTAAAGAAGAGTAAACAAAATATAAGCTAATGTACAGTAATTTCATGATGAATCTTGGTGTGTGTGTCTGTGTGAAAGTGAGAGAGACAAGTAGAGAATGTATTTGGAAATAATTTGAGACTCAGAGAAAAGTCACAAGAATAATAAAAGAACTTCTGCTCACCATTGTTTCAGGTCCTGCTTGTTAAAATTTTGCTACATTTTTTCTGTCCCTCTTTTTCTTTATTTTTGTGAAATTTGACAGTAAGTTAAAGTCAGGATACCCTGTAACCTTGAAGTGTTCTAGTGGAAATTTCCTGAAGACATTCTCTATCTTGATTTGGCAGAGTTATCTGTATCAGAAAATGAAGACTGGTTCAGTGCTGCCATTTAATCTACAGATGCTATTCAGATTTTTCATTTTTCACTATAGAGTCTTTTATAGCCAGGTAGAAAGTTTTAACATCTCAAAAATGTCAGTAATTTTCAAGTTAATATGTAAGCTGAATTAATATATCATTTTAGTAGAATAATGATAGTGTTAATTTGGAATTTAACATTCTCTATAAAATATTTAAAACATGCAGATATAATATGGACATATTATATATCTGTCTGAAAGCAAGTGCTTTCATCTAACCCTAAAATTTGCAAAAATATAAATATAAAAAGACATCTGTTACTGCATATAACTGTGAATTTAGCAAATTAAAAATCAGTAGAAGAAAAGCAAAAGGAAAAATATTGTCAAAAGAACCATCATTTTCTAAAGAATAAATTCCGATCAAAATTAAGTTTGATGACTTTATTTTTCAAATAGGAGTTTTATTGAGATATAATTCGCCCAGGAATATATGTAGTTCTTTCAAGAATATGCATATCATTGCTTTCTATAATGTCTTTGTATCTCATACCATAATATCTATTAGTTATTCCAATACCTTATTTTCTTTTATACCTATCCTTATTTCCATATTACAAATTAAATTTCTAGTGTTTTATTGTGCCTTTGAGATTTACAGTTTATTAAGCCATGATGATTATATTTTGTTTCTATTTTTGTTTATTTAGGACTGGCACTTCTTTCCTTATTCACTTATTTTTATTCAATTTTTAATCATGTATTTGTCATTTTGTTTGTTAGAAGAGAATGATGAAGAATTTCTTTTCATCCTTTAACCATATTTTCTCTGAGGTGCCTTTGTCTTTTACATATAATCTTAAAATTTTATTTAAAAACTCACTTATTAGCTCATTTATTGAATTTTGATGTTTGTACAGTTGCCATACTTTTTCTTTTCACATTTTTCATGCTTAGAATGCTCTGTCCAGATGTTGTTAGTTTATGTAGAATATGCACCAATACTTTTCCTCTTCTTCCAGCTGTATATAGAGATAATTTTTCCTCTGTGACCCACAGTGTGATTTTTGTCCCCAATATTCTGTAGCCTGTCAGAGAAGGGGGAGCAGAGAGGGCGAGGGAGGCAAGGAGAAAGAAGAAGTAGGGGAGAGAAAGAGAGGGAGGGAGAGAGGGCACATGATCACATTTGAGAGAAACGGAGGGTTTCTTAGAATTTTTTAATCTTTTTTTCTCATAAGATTTTGTGTAGTGTTTTCTACTAAGTTCATGGTATCATATTAGAGACTAGACAGTTGTAATAGGGGACTGTGCTTAAGCTTTGAATTATTTTTCAAGTCAGTTCAGAGAATAGTCTGGTTCTACTTAAGTCATGGAAAGTTAGCCCATGTTCACTTTTTGGTGTCACCAACTTAACACTGTAGATTTTCTAGCATTTCTAGTTAGAAGAGAAAATAATAATTTTGCCTACTCGTTTTATTTCTTTGTATATTTGAAGGTTTTAAGAAAAACTCAGAATTTGTCACTTTACCAGCATAGCTTTGGGGAACATGGGCCATGGTTAACTACGTTTTGCTTCTACTTTACTTTTACTTCCTATGAGTTCATTTTCCCTATAGCATCCCCTCTGCCATGCTTGGTGCTTTGTTTTTTCTTACAGTGTTCTATTATTTTTTTTGTTTAAAAATAATTTTTGTAGTACTGCGGATCTGGATCAGTGGCGCCACACTGGCCTTGCAATTGCACAGTCCTGAGTTCAATTCCCAGTGTGTATGTGGTGGTGGTGGGGCAAGACCAGGAAAAAATAGTTTTGATAATTTTTGGCAGTCAGGCAGGAAAAAAATTTAGATGCCATTTCAGCCTATCACCCTAAGAGAATCTATTACTTTTTATCCTTTCCAATTAATTATGGAGAAATTTGCTTTTTTTGTACATTTGAGTTGAAACTGCAGTTTATTGTTTTTTTATATGAAATGTCAATGAGTATAATGGTGGTGGTATATGTATTCTTTTGTGTATGAGAGAATGAGAAAGGAGGAAACATATGGAATTGAAAAGGGGAAAATATATTTTAAACACATTGTTATGGAAGAGTTGAAATTGATTTTATCTGAACAGCGTGTACTTTTGCAGTCTAGATGTGGAGTGATGGTGAGAACAGTAGGTGTTACTGTAGGAGCCCTGTGCTGTGTCAGGAACTGTTAATGGATACTAAATGAATAGTAACCAATTTAAACCTTAAAATAAACCTCAGATGCAGTGCTGTCATGAAGCTGCATGTTGTAGACTTGAAGACAGTCTACATCAGAACTAATCTCTTGTTACATCTGGAATCCAGAACCCGGCATTTTTAGTTCTCGATCATTAACTTAGGAAACTGGTTCATAGTTCAATAGATTTCTTTAGAATGTTTATATTGAATTTAATCCTGGAATACATAGGAGCTTTAGTGTGAGCTATTTAATTTTATGCTTTATTTAGTATTGTTTTCATTTTAATCTTTATCACCTTACTGTGAAATATGCAGTATTGCACAATAATATTATGAGATAACTATAGTAAAATAATCTAAAATTTTTAATTTTAGTGAAGAAAATGTGTTTGTTCATCTGTTATACATTAAAGTCACTTTTGAGAGAGCAACTCTTATTTTCATATAAAAATTACTCCTGTTTATATAGCAAGCTCCCATTGATTAAAGCATGCTCATATTTAATATTTAAAGTATTTCTAAGTATCCTCCTCTAAATACTGCTTTAGAGGGTTACAAGCTGAGGCGTGTTTCTCCTAGACAGCTTCATCTTATCTAAGTTCAGCCTTAGATTTGTGCTGAGCATTCTTAAGTAATACTTCTGAACTTTTTTCTACTATTAGTTACTTCTTTCTGCCAAAGGAAAAAAGAAAACAGAGGTATTGTCTTATACTGTGGTCTTGTAGATGGTTTGCAGCCATCTGTGGTTGTGTAGCAGCTGATTGAGTTCCTTTCAAGTCCTCGCTGACAGTGCAGGTCTGAAAGGCACCCTCTTCAGTTCATCACGTGCTGTCG